CACTACCTTAAACACGGTCTTTTGGTCAACTGTATGGCCAGTATCCGCTAAGTGCCTTGCGATTGAACTCTTAGGTATTTTATTTTCGGCCCTGAGCGTTTATGACGGACTTACAACGATTGAATCTAATATAGTTTAAGGTCGTCAGTCGATATAGCCAGCATTAGGGTTTTACACAAATAAGGACACCTTTTTCGAAGAGATTTACACTAGAGGAACACGCGATGCGACGTGTCTTGTTTAAATTTACGTAGTGTAATGAAAGATGGATGGGTCTTCACTCGCAAAGAAAACCCATGGCATAAAATGGTGGGCCAGATGAGAACTCTCTTCGGTTCTTTTATTAGGCTCGACTACTTCGTTTCACAAATATTAGTGCAAAATCATCCATTCTGCACATGACGAATAAAGATAAAAACGGTGCACATAAAAGCTATCTTCGTGGGCCTGGTTTACAAAAACTTCTCCATGATCTACCATCATATGTGTCTGACATTCGCTGACGAACACTGACTGATCGTCAACAGAACCCTTTTGTCCCGTTCTGCCTCGGGGCTCACTCCAGAATCCCACCAGCAGCAGAACAGTGGCTAATTCTATAGGCAGATGAACATTGCTGGTGAAGACAAGAAAGGCTGGAATTGCCATTTCTGGCTCATCAGTCGTCATCAGCCAGCCATCGTTTAGGGGATAGGGCTTTGAACTTCTGATGAACGGATCGCGGGTTCGAGGCTCGAGTGGTGCGCCTCCTGGAATTGTTTATGACTAGCCGATGGCGACCTATGAATCAAAAATAGCTTCGTTGTTCTTATTGAGAACGCTCATGCGGGCTTTCCTTTAAGAAAGATCATCGTCTTTACCAACGCTCCGAGACGCCCGTTGTTAAAAGACTTCCTATAAGCGTACTTAGATTTTGCACTGCTGATAAACAATCTGCCCTTGCCTTCTAGTATACAGTATAACTCATAATTCCGGACTGTTAACGCCGCAAGTCACTGCACAGTGATGGGTAATCAATAATGGAAGAATATTACAAGCAAAGCTCAGGAAGACTGCTGCTAGCTCACGTGCCATCATTCATTAGATATACCAAGAAGCGAGTTCTAGAAAAC